GAAAAACGGAGGAGCAATAATAAAGAGAATAAAAGATAATGTTTGAGCATAATGTTATTTTATAAATGGTGAGCATATGCTTTGTGTGTGTTTTCCCACCTTGTGCTGCTATTATCCCCTTTAATTGGTCATTTTACTGATTTCATTCTAGGGCTAAAGGGTAACTGTCAATAATGTGGGTGACGCTAAAGAGAACAGCGTGTGTGTACTTCCATTAACCTCCAAACAGATTTACAGCTAACAGAATTAATCCTCACAATGCTGAGAAGTGTTTGGTTCAAGATGAAGCCTATTATATATTTATTTAGCAGTTATTAACAATTTAGGTGATATAGACTACTTTGTTGTTGTTAATACGTATAATCTGTAGGTTAATTCAATCTGAATTCATAATCTACTGTATTGTAACTATCATGATCTGTATATTGTAATTTATTGTTATGACCTACCTTGAGTTTCATTGTAGAAAATTTTAATTTTGATCTTTAATCTCTGTTTTATCTTTTTCCACAGCCCTATAAGATCTGTCATTGCTCTGATGGATATTTAGAGCTTTTAGACATCCCATCTCATTTTGTGCTTCCCATCATGACTTGCTACTATGTTCCCATGGGAAAGCTGTTATATCTCAGTCTCTGATGTGCATAATGTCATCACTTTATTCCACAGGTGCTGAATTTTTTCATTTGGCAGATGTCATGTCTGAAGATGACTGGACACACATCTGTCAAGAACGATGGAAGGGTCATGCTTCATGCTTAGAGAGAGAGCGTTTTACCATTTTACCTACTTGTGTGTGTGTGTGTGTACAGGTATATATGGTTTATGAGGACACAAATGTGTATAATGACATGGGTACTACAACGTAAACATGGTTTATGAGGACACTTCCTGTGTCCCCGTAAAACAAAAGAAAAACATACAAAACGGTGTTTTATGAAATTCTAAAATTGCCAGCAGTTTCCTGTGAGGGGTAGGTTTAGGGGTAGGGTTGGTGTAGGGCAATAGAATATACGGTCTGTACAGTATAAAAACCATTATGCCTATGGAGACTCCCCGTAAACCACAAATACAAGTATGTGTGTGTGTGTATGTGTGTGTGTTGTCAACATGTAGACAGATTTCTCATCAATCTCAGGGCCCAAACTGTTTGAAGAGTGCTGTTCTTTCAGTTAGAATGGAATGGAATTAGGCTTGTGGTGTGTGAATATATAGTTGTGTGCCAGAGCAGAGCTGTATGTAATTCCAGTAGTTTTGCACTCCTGAGAGGCACAAAGATGAAACCCATCTGCTTTTCTACCATGGGTCCTCATTTACTGTAGAGCTTTATATATTACACAGACACCCAATAACACACTAAAAATAGACCATTATCTCCTGTCTGAAGTAAAGTATAGCCCACATTTTAACCCAGGGTTGCAAAAACACATAAAATCAAATTAACTTAATTGTTGCATACCATGCATTATAGCATGTTATAAAAGCAACAATAGTATATAAAACAATAGTTCTTATAATATATTTATATTATTAACTTTGTTTTGATATATTAACAGAATTATCAACATTTTATTTACAGTGTACAGTACAGTGTATATATATATAAAATAATTTTATATAATATATAAATTATATATATAAATTAATTAATGACACTAGTGACATTTTTCTAATGTAACGTAGAGCCATTTTCACTATAATTTTCACTACTACAGCATGAATTACAATGTACAGTATATTCACTCCAGTTCTGTTATAGAGATGCTGATGTTATTGAGATGCTGATCACAGCTGAAGGGCAGCTAAAGATGCTGTTCATTTAACTTTGCAATTTTTCACTTCTCACCTCACCACTTTCTGTGTGGACAGATCAGTATGTTTAAAGTGTGTGCCGTCATAAGTGTAATTTAAATTTTAACACTGTCTGTTTCACGCAGTCTATTTGTGAACTTCATTTTGATGCATGAAGGCCTTCACAAGAGCATAAAAGAGTTTATCAGTGTGAGACGGCTTCTTTATTACATAAATGAAAATTTGAACAGAAAAGCATTGTGGGAATGCTCTCTCTGCTGCAGGCCGCTGCTTCATTACATTATGTCAGATATTATAATATAATTTACTGCAGAAATCATTGCCACTGTGGTTTATGGATCTTAATTCTGCATCCTCTTTCTAAAAGTGGGTCATGGAGATGCAGAGAACTAAACATTCTTATGCTTAGAGATAAAATAACATCTAATTCTCTGTAAATGTTTTGCTTGAACAGAATATAAAGCAGAGTTTGCAAATTTATTTGCTTTAAAGTCAACATGAAATGATGGTCGCATCCAAAAATGAACATTTTAATTTTATATTCTGAAATATTTGTGAAACAGAATATTGAATAAGAAACAATGTGGGTCTTGGTTCTATACTTGAATTGATTAGATGATAATTTATGTAGTTTATATTTTAAATGTAAGTGGCAACAACCATGGTCATTAGTCTTTGTAAAAAGATGTATCATCAGTCACTGCAAAATAGAGTCTTTGATCTAAAACGGTTGCTTTAATTAATGCATTTAAATTATAACCATGATTGATGCTGGTGAACTTGACTTGAGTCAATTAATCTATAAATAACTGCTACTGAATTTAATTTGACCATTTCAAGTTTCAGTTGAATTAGAGCAGGGGTGCCGAACCCTGTTCCTGATGATCTACCTTCCTGCAGAGCTCAGTTCCAGCCCTGATCAAACACACCTGTCTGTAATTATCAAGTACTCCTTCAGATCCTAATTAGTTGGTTCAGTTGTATTTGATTAGGGTTGGAGCTGAACTCTGCAGGAAGGTAGATCTCCAGGAACAAGGTTGGGCACCCCTGAACTAGAGCCTTACAGTCTCAGAAATGATTTACTTTAATTGAGAAAGTTTATTTGTAAAATCTCTTTTCTATCAACCATTTCATCAGTCTAAAACCAAAGACCAAAAATACTTTGGCATTTAAATATTCAGGCCCAGTTTCGGAATCAAATCACTGTGGGTGCTTCTGAACTTAGTGAAGGTGCTCTAGCCTTAATGCACATCTATTTTGACATGATATTTTGTCTTATCCATTGTTATTGTTATTTCAAGAGTGTATCCTGCAATTATACATCTATGTAGCCATACAATGTCTGATGATCTGCCCCAAACTGGCCTGAAGATATCTAAATGCCAATATTCATTTATAATCATAGCACCACCTGCTGGCAACAGGAAATGACTTGTTTTACATTAATCTGCTACGCAATAACCAATCTTCACTAGACATCACATGTCTGGTAAGAGTCCTGGCCTGAAGACATCTAAAGGTCAATATACAGTTATAATCATAGTGCCACCTGTTGGCAAGAGGATATGTCATGTTTTACATTTTACATTTTACAATCTGCACCAAACTTCATATGTTTGATCAAAGTCCTGGCTTAAAGATTGCCACATGCCAATATTCCGTTATAAGTAATAGCACCACCAGCTGGCAGCAGGAAGTTTGGCACATACAAATTACTTTGACATATTCCTCTTATATTTACCACTTTAAATGCATATTGCTCACCATTCGCTGTTTTTCTAAAGCCACCGGGTGGCAGTGAGCCCGGGTGCGAGGGCCCTTTCATCGCTGCTTGCAGCTTTAATTTAAATTGTGTCTACACTTTGTTTGTTATAATGAGAGGATTCACAAACTTACTTGACTTAGCACTGAACAAAACATTTGGCTTCATTGCTCAACACTACAGAAACATTTTGTAAATAGAAACCGTTGAAGCTCTCTTTAGTGAAGACATAAATATGCACTGGCATTTGCAAATCTGTTTTGCCAATATCCTATTTTTACAGCCTCAACAGAGGGTACTCTTTTTTTTTCATTTGTTTTCTTTGTTTTCATTCACCCTCTAGCACCTTTAGAGCCCCTGAACCCTGCCTATAAACATTTAAAAAAGCAGTATGTAACATTGTCAGCTAGTGGTTGAAATGGGAACTGCAGTCCAAATTCAAAGTTGTTTCTCCCATGGCCCTCTCCTCAAACTCAACGATCGTGCAGGTTGCCAGATTAAAGACAACAGGAATGATTGTAAGCTTTTTACATTGGGTAGAATATGCAATCTCTGACACAGTTTGTTTTCTGGCTTCCATCACAGCAAAATGCTGTGTTTTCCACCAACTGACAACCCGTTGTCGAAATACTATTGAGTAAATTTGGCGGAATCACATAGACCAAAACAAAAGCAGACATTCCCACAGAGAACAGACAAGTTTGATCCAAAACTTTTGAGCGGTAGTGTACCTTTACAGTGTTCTACTGTAGATGGAGTAATGACAGCACAGCAGTTGTTACAGAACAATGGCTCCACAATTAAACAATATTATACTCTTAAAGTCAAAGAGCAATGATAGAGCAGTATTTATAATAATAAAGCCATTTTTAAGTTTAATTGCAATCGGTCATTGATGTTAAATAGTTATAATAGAGCAGTGACAGCACAATCATTAAACAGAGCAATGATTGCACAATGTCTGCAATAAAACAGTGTCAGCCTAGTGGTTGTCACTGAGCAATGACTACACACCAATTATAAAGTATTTTTACTCTCTGTAATAGAGCAGAGAAAAGACATTAGTTCTATTTTGGCAATGCATACACAATTGTTTTTAAAGCAGTGCTGTAATACAAATTAAATGCAGTAGTTGCTTTTTATTATTTGCATTAAAGCAGTGATGGTTTGAACTGTGTAACCCAGATTGATGGAATTTTTATATGCAATGCAAATCTTAAATTAAGGCCTTACTATTGTTTGAGTGTGTCATCCTTGCATTGTTCGCTTGTTGTTGAACCATATAATGTTAAATTGTAGTTATAATTAGAAAATATAAAAAAGCTAGTATAAAAAGGCCTTACATCTAGTATTGCTTTGTGTCTATTTGCATAGTAGCGCTAATATGTATGTAATTTAACATCCACCCGCTGTCTTTTGTGTGTAGGCTATTGAGGACGCAGTCCTTAGAATGGTACTACAATAATGTGAAGAGTCGGTTTAAGAGATTTGGCAGCGCCAAGGTGCTGAAGACCCTCTGCAGGAAACACATCATTGAAAGAGGAGCATTATCTGAGTTACCAGGTATGAAATACACACATACAAACTCTACATCCTGCAGTGTGTGTATAAGTTATGCTACTCACTTTATCTTAGTAACCCCACTATTATCAGACACTTTGGCCAGCAGATTAAATGATTAATGGCATTTTTACAATGACACTAGTAGCTGAAAACCTTGACTTTCAGGTAATGCTGCATCCACACTACTAGGTGTCAGTATAAGTCCAGAAATACATTTTGATTACAAGACAATAAGAAGGCAATAAATTAATATTGAATTTTTATATTTCGAGTGTGGGAACAGGAAATTAAACTAAGACAGAAAAGGATGAAAAGGATTGGGACACACATTGTAGGTTTGATTTGAACCTAAGTCTTCTAAATGCAAGTATCACAACTCAACATTTTTCAATAGTTAAACCATCAAAGACAAACGGTTGACTCTTTTATGCAAGCCAGACTAATTAAAAAAAAAAAAGTGTCAGAGGCAACATTTTCACAAAATGATATTAGGGTGCTTCTTGCATGTTTTGCAATACTTTGAGTGTCGTTAAAGGTGTGTTCAGTTTTAATTAAAAAAAGGAGGAATGTGAATGTCAACATTTTATTACACTGTTTTTTGCACCTATTTTTGCAGTGCATAAATGATATGTCCAGTGAGTGGTGCTAAAATAATCCAGTGGTGTAAAGCGTTTGAGTAAATTTACTGTACTTAAGTATCTTTTTGGTTACGTTGTATCAAAGATTTTAGCATCTTCTACTCTCTCTTTGACTTTGACTTTGATTTTTTTTTTTTTATATATGTACACTTTACTCCACTACATTTGTAACAAGTAATTCAGTTGCTCACTGCATTTTGCATGGCACCTTACTTTTTTTGCAGCAGTTTATTTTTGTTACAAAAGAAGTGATATAACCATGTACAGGGTACTAAAAGTAAAAGATCTGCAGTGAGGCTACTTTATGTGAGTGCATTAGAATGTGAGTGCATTAGCAGCTAGTTCCTGAATCACAGGTGATATCATTTGAGATGAGCACATGGCTACAGCCAGTGATGAGGTCAAAATGAGTACATCCTGTGCAAGTAGGCTTTATCTGTAGAAATAAATTTACATGGCAGCTCATTGATAAAACTCATGCATTCAGATGGCAATTTATTCATGGTAGAGGAGAGTTCTGTGTTCCTGTGTGCTCACGTGGACAGTTGCATAATCATCTGCTGTAAATAAAACATTGTTTGCTTGGAAATAATACGATTTTTTTTTATTTAAAATTATATCCTGTTTATTACTTGATTATTAAATCTCCTGTTAAAAAATAAGAAAATAGACATGCTGTAGTTGAAACGTGGATGTGATATGTGGATTTGGATGGCAATTAAATTACCACACAACCTTTTACTTAATATTATTTTTGTTATCTTGAAGAGTCATTATTTTGAAGGATTTTGGTTTAAGTTTTAAACCCTTTTTGTGCATGCAGCTTAACTGAGATTTGGGTGTTTTTAGATGTTTAAGAGGCAGTTGTGTTGACCTTGATTTATTGCAATATTGAGTGTTCAGTTTAATTTTAATTTTAATTTTAATACATGCTCTTAATCAGCATGAAGAAAATCAGCTGTTTCTTGTTTTTCTCTTTTCTCAGACTAGTGCATCTTTGAGTCTACATTCACAATGAGTAAAATACTTAAGTAGCCTATTAAAATAAGTCACTAAGACTTTTACTCAAGTGTTATTGGTGACTTGTAACTTGTAATGGCACTATTTTCACTTTTACTTATTAAATAATGTTTAAATAAAATTTTGTCATGCTGTAAATGAGTACACTTAATTTCATGTGTTGACTAATAACTGTGTACTAAAGTGCACAGATTTTTCACAAGGGTAATAGAGGTATGAATACTGGTATATATTATTAGTAGGAAAAAGGGGGTTCGGTGCCTTGCTCAAGGGTCTTACCTCATTCGTGGTATTGAGGGCGAAATAGAGCGCTGGTCATTCACTCCCTCCACCTAAAATCCCTGCTGGTACCGAGACGTGAACCCGCGACAAGTCAGACTCTCTGACCATTTGGACATGACTGCCCCCATTATAAGTATTAGCAGTATTATGCTATAGTGCTAAAATTGCTATGCGTCTCCTAGGGTATTTCATGGCATGATTACAAGGGGGTTGCTAGGGTGCTTAGGGTAGTTGCTTATCAGCCTTAATCAAAATAGCCCACTTTGGTTCCTCCTTTTTTTCTTTGCTGTTGTATTGCCTGCATAGAAACATAATAGCACATCATTCAAGTCTGTATGAGTGAGACAAGTTACATGCTGATGTTCAATACTTTAGAACAAACCCCCTGTGGGCAATAATAATTGTGATGCTTACCTCAGCAAGAGCCATTAATTACAGATACATGATTAATGGCAAGGCTGTTTTAATTATAAAGAGTCAGATTAAAAATATATAATCATTGACAATAAAATAGATAATCTCATCTGCTCTGAATGAACTAGATTATTAAAAGGATTTGCCACTTTTGCTAGTCATGTAAACATTTTTATAAATACCACATATTGGGTCAGGTTTACCAAATGGCAAATTAGACAATTTAAAAACAGGACAATTATAAAGAGCAGTGCAAATTAGCGATTATTGCAGCCATGTCATGCCATTTTCATACCCTCCTATAAATTTTGTATCTGAAAGGGAAACACCTACAAATGCATATGCAATAAGGTCAGCCGTAAAAATAGCTGTAATGTATGTAAAATGTTTACTGTTTTCTATTTGAATAGGTTATTAATTCATGGCAGTATGTCTTTTATTGCTTATAAAAAAAATCACTGTAGTGCATTAACTTTTAACTAATCACATTGAAACAAAAATCTTGTCTTAATATTTTTTGTTATTTCTAAATAATTCTTAATAAATCAAGTTCAAACATTTTGGTAAAGAAAGATTTTTAAAGAGTCTCTTTAATAGATAAAAACACAGTAAAAATAGCAAATTGTGAAATAGTATTAGTAATTTTCAAATAAGTGTTTTGTAATTTAATATATTTTCCTGGCAAAGCTGAATTTTCAGCAGCCATTACTCCAGTCTTCTGTGTAACATGATCCTGATTTGGTGCTCAAGAAACATTTCTTATTATTATCAATATTGAAAAAAAGCTGTGTTTTTTTTATTCTGGCAGAAACTGTAAAACATTTTTTTTCTGAATTATTTGAATATTACGTTCAAAAGTACAACAATATGAATAATATGAAATGTCTTTACTTTAACTTTTGAAATGTCTACTTTCAATTTAATGCATCTTTGAAGAATAAAAAAATATTCTGCAAGGATGTATTAAATTATTTCATAAACAAATAACAATTCATACTGACTGCAAATTGTTGAATAGTAGTGTACAGTATAATACAGTACAGTATAATATTTTATATTATATAAACAATTTAGGATAATTATATAATAATTTTTTCTGCGTTTGTTGATTAAAATAATGTTAAAACAGCATAATTTATATGAAATGTCTGTACATCCACTTTTGCTCAGTTTAGTGCATTCTTCCAGAATTAAAAAATTTACTCTTACTCTTAAAAAATGTAATTTAATTTGTGATAATTGATTGAAATGAAATTGTGAAATAGTATATACATTTTAAAATAAGTGTTTTGTAATTTAATATATTGTGATGGCAAAGCTGAATTTTCAGCAGCCATTACTCCAGTCTTCGATGTAACATGATCCTTCAGAAATCATTCTAATATGCTGATTTTGTGCTCAAGAAACATTTCTTATTATTATCAATATTTAAAAAAAAAAAAAACTGTGCTTTTATTTTGGCAGTTTAAATTCATTTAATTCATTTAATGTGTTGACAGCATAGTTTGTGATAATTTATTCTTCCATCATGCACCTAAAGGAATTACAGTTTAGTGAGATTGCAGTTTTACTGTAAATGTCAAAAGTGATATGTGTTATAATCAAATGTATTAAATAAATATTTCTTCTTTATCTGCTGTATTCTTTCTATTTATCTTTCTATTCTCTTGACTCTGTCTTTGGGTGCAGTTAAAGTGTGGCGTTAAGAGACACAGCCCATTTAACAGCTGCAGCCATGACCTACAGTGAGATCACATCGATGTTTCTTATTTAATTTGATCTGTGTGTTTTTCAAGGACAGAGAGAAACAGCCTGAACACACACACAAACACACACACATTAATTCGCTTACAGGCTAACTATAGCTGACCTATACAAGCTGGGACTGTATATACACATAAAAACTCGCTCTCTCACACAAATTAACCTGTACAAGTATGTGGACCCTCACAACACACAAGCACACACACAAATAAACATGAGCACCAGAGTGCAAATGAAACTATAAAGCAGTGACAGATCATTTATGAGAAGGAGGCAGTTACTCAGTCGTTGCGTCACTGTCCACACACATTCAATGGGCTGGTAGTACGCAGCACGCTCACTGACTCATGTTGGATAATCCTTATTTTTCTCATTTTAAATTAAAGCCTAGCAGCAGTAATCCTATTTCCTCTGATAGCAAGAGATAGAGAGAGATGAAAGGTATATGTGGGTGTAGTCTGATGGTAAGGGGATTATTTGATTTTACACTATGCTACACCATTGCCATTTTTATCAGATAGACTGCTAGTAATACTATAGTGTAGGTCAGTTATTTTAACACTGCTAGCATAGGGATACTAACATCCCTACTGTAGCATCTCTCCTACTGCAGCATTAGTGTTAGCATAGCACTCACTAATCCTTATATCACTGATTTTGGATGTAACTAAACCCTCAAACTCACATAAAAACAACTCCAAAAAAGTACCTATACATACAGTTCACTGCAATTTCATGCCAAATAAATTAAATCATTAGTAAAGAAAAAAATCTATATTTTTTTAATTATGAGGATCAATCTTCTTAATTAATACTGAAAGTGTCAGTATTGTAGGGACGATCCGGTATCTTTTTTTTTTTAATTCATTTTATGGTGTGCATTACTTGTATAAGAGCGTGTATGTGAAGTGGTGGAGCTGTAGGAAGAGTTTCTGTCTGTCACACTCATTCAGCTGAGTGATTCTGAGCAACACAAGCTGTGCCTGTCTCATAGAGATACATGGAGTGATGTGATGAGATGACATTTAAAAAGAGACCAGAGGAGCCTGTGTGATGCTCTGCATTCATCATTGGAGTGTATAAATTAATCTGTCAGACAGTGTAATCCATATTCAGCACCTCTTGGATATTACAGAATGAACATTGATGTTCTTCACATCATAATAGTTCATAGCTTCATGTGATAAGGTTTCTGAACACTAAGATTCCAACCATTAAGATACTAAAGCAACTGATGTGATCAGGCGGTTATTTTCTTCCACTATGCAAACCTTACAAAACCTTAAAAAAGTACAGCGTATAATTGACAGGTGAGTTGGTGTTTTTTTGGTGTTTTCTAAAAAACATCAGGACAGAATAGTATAATGTGTTCCATGTTCACATTTTATTCATGCTTCCATCACATTTTTTTCTTGCAATTTCAACCTCATCTGTACTAGCTAGATAATGTCACCTTCATGTCATCAAACTATCATTATTGTTAACCCCTGGTCTGGCAAATATGGAGATGAACCCTTTAGCTGGGTTTGTTGGGAATGCGTATTTGCATTCAATTTGTCTGCCTCTGAAGTGTCTTTGAGGTGTAGGGACTCTAAAAAGTGTTTGTGAGTTCTTATAAATTAGAGAATAATAAAGACTGAAACGACTGTTCTGTGCACTGATACATTGACAAATGCCTTGAATTGGTTCCACGTGTTTATTTTTATGGTTTATGTGTTTGTGTGTGACTCAGGTCACATATAATGTACTGTGGTCACAGTGTAAAACTGTGCCATTATCAGTTTTTCAGATGCACACTCACTGTTTCTAGATATTCAACTTGTTTCTTTCAGCCAAATGAAGGACTATTCTTAGAACTGATAGTCTGTGTGAGTGACTATGCTGGTCTGTATCAGTTCTTGTGTACACGTAAATGAACTGTCATTTCCTAAATGAACTCATTTGAATTCTTAGTTTCTAAATTGAAAGCTATTCCATAGGCCTGCTGTGTGAGTGAGAGTCCCTAAGCTATGAGCTAGACTCAATTTGATCTGCTTTGCTGTGGATGCCAGGATCTGTTGCATACAGTTATATGAATGTTTTGTAAGATTTGTTTTTATACATATGGGGTTTTTTGTTTTACATAAAACCAAAAAATAAAAATAAATGGTATTTTTTTTTTTTTTTTTTTTTTTTTACAAAGTATTTATTTAAAAATCCAAAACAGCCATTTCTGATCATTTACCATTTCATGTTGTTTTTATTATGATTATTTTATTTTACACAATATATAAAAAAAATATATATATATATATAAAAAAAACTTTCTAATGGTAATTACTCTTTAGTCATACAGTAAATATGACCATCTATGCATGAGTTGTAAGGTTATCTGTCAATTGCTGTGCTCTGTCTCTGTTTGATACATTACATATGACACCTGTGTTCTGTCTCTGTATTTCATTGGCCTTGCATGGGGCGGTTACAGGCCAGATAGAATGTGCAGTGTTCCCTTTCATGGGATCATGGCTATCGCCAGCCAACAAGTTGGTGTTTTTTCAATGTATGCTTCAGACACGGGTCACGACGAGGCGTTCCCCCATAGCGACCCCTAGAGGACGCAGTGTCTCGTTCCCTACTCAGGGAACCATGGTTACATAAGTAACCTGAGACAGTCTCTTTCTCTATGCTGTTGTCATGGTGATATTGAGCTAGCACTCTCTCGAGGTCAGCTGAAAAAAGAAAGTGAAAAGGTAACCGTCTGGTCAGGTAGACACAATGATGTGTATGCCTACTTAACGGTATCGTCTCTCACTTTTTTCTCACAGCTAACATGGCAGTTTTGACCCTCAGCTAATCTGTGCCACATTGTGTTTAGTCACACAGACTAGAGGGTTTCTACATTATTTTATTTTATTAAGTGTACTGTATGTTTGCAGTTGAATGAGTCACTGGGTTTGCTTAGCTATAATTTGTGAACAAAACTGTCTTTAGAAGTCAAATTTATCTGACAAAAGTTTCCTTGAGGATTCATATATTAAGTACATTTTATTTTTGTATTTTGTGCTCATTTAGCTTGATTAGCTTGTGTGTGTTTTGAGTATGTTGCTAAATTTTATTCCTGTTTCTATGAAAATTTCTCATCAGTTTTGTCAACCAAAATTATGTTAAGTTTAATTTATAATAAAACATATAACCAGACATGTCCAGACAAGCACAATTTTGTCTGGAATGTTTTGATTCCTTTGATTTATGTCTATCTCTTTTGTTTTTTTTTTAGAGGTGAGTGCTCAAGAAGGCAGTAATGATAATGGCAGTGTTTGTGATGGCAGTGACTCCACGCTCTACAGGCAGAGTGAAGGTAACATGAAAAATCAATATACTTCTGCCCTCTACACATGTGTTTTCACATTTCAGACCCATAAAATAAATTTAAATCTGCCAGGTTCTCAAACCCACACCAACATAAAGCTTTCAGTACCTTGATTTAGTCCTTAATCTCTGTATTCCTGGGTTAATATATTCAATTCAATTCAGGTTTATTTGTATAGTGCTTTTCATGATGCAAATCGTTGCAAAGCAGCTTTACAGAAAATTAAAGATTCTACATTATATTTAGTAATAGCTTATCAGTGGTGACTATCTCAAGTTGATGTCCATTATAGCAAAATTTGGTAGTTTTGTATGTTGTCTGAGGGTTGGCATCATCTGAGGTCCTCTGGGGGGTTGGCATCATCTCTTCTCAGGTGTTCGGTCATCTCAGGTCTTTGTAAGGGCTGGATCCAGACTGAAGCTTGTGTAATTCCTAGTTACCACAAGATGCCATTCCTGTGGCAGAAACAGAGAAGGTAATAGAGAAAAATTTGCATAGCTGCTGTTCCAACTAAGCAAAAAATAATGTGTTCAACCCAAGCAAAAGAATGAAAATGTGCATTTGATCAGATGTAACTGAAGTACAAGGTTATGAGATACATTATGTGAATGCTTGGCTAAAGAGATGTGTCTTTAGTCTAGATTTGAACAGAGAGAGTGTGTCTGAACCCTGAACGTTATCAGGAAATCTATTCCAGAGTTTGGGAGCCAAGTGTGAAAAAGCTCTACCTCCTTTAGTGGACTTTGCTATCCTAGGAACTACCAA